TGCGTGGAAGAATGCACCTAATTCCCACGAGAATCTAACTGGTACCAAATACGTAATATATATCTTAGAAAGTATCCATAAAAAGCGCAAGCTTCGACGGAGAACGGAAATGGCTGCAAACTAGGTCGTCTGCTCTCAAAAATGATCTTAATAAATGTACAGCGAATCTAAGAACACAAATTAAACACTTTAAAAATGTTTGCTTCAAACCTTATCTGGTTAAACTTATAGCTGATAAATCCACCGACTATTCACTCTGGGAAGCTGCAAGAAATATGAATAAACAAATAAAACATGTAGCAACATTTAAACTTAACGAAACTAGATGGGCCAAACCGAATGAGCAGAAAGCTGCGGTATTTGTAAATCAATTGAGAAATACATTTACGCATAAGATGGGTATGGGATAAACCGTGACGTACCTACGAAACGTTTCACCGCTTTGTATCTGAAGTCATAATGATACCTTAGCCATATACGTCTTCTTCTTCTTAATTGGCGTAGACACTGCTTACGTGATTATAGCCGAGTTAACAACAGCGCGCCAATCGTTTCTTCTTCTCGCTACGTGGCGCCAATTGGATATTCCAAGCGTATCCAAGTCTTTCTCGACCTGTTCCTTCCTACAGAGTGGAGGTCTTCCCTTTCCTCTGCTTCCCCACGCGCGTACAGCGTCAAATAATTTCAGAGCTGGAGTGTTTTCGTTCAGCGTAGCCGCTGTCTTTTAATTCACTGAACTATGTCAATGTCATCATATATCTCATACAGCTCATCGTTCTATCGAATAAATCTTTCGCAGAACTTTTCTTCCGAAAACACGCCGCGATCATTTTCGTGCTGTCGAAAGCAGCTTTGAAATCGACGAAGAAGTGGTGAGTGTCGATTCTCCTTTCACTGGTCTTTTCCAAGATTTGCAGCATGGTTTGTTGACGGTGGGCTTTAAACTTTCACACAATACGCTCGATAGAACCTTGAACACGATGTTGAGGAGGCTTATCCCACGATAGTTGGTACCTTCTGTAAGCCGCCGCATTTTTTCGTAGAATTTTCGAGCATTACCCCTGTCGGCCAGCTTATCAAGCTCTTCGTACTCACGCATTTCGGCCTCT